CTGTATGTAATTAAGAACCACTGTGTGTGCTTTGAGTTTTTAATGTACTATGGTGGTGGTGTACAGTGGAGTTGGTTCCAACTCATAGCGATCCTGCATAGGGTTTCTGAGGCTGTTAATTTATACGGGAGCAGAAAGCCTCATATTTCTCCCACAAAACAACTGGTAGTTTCGAACTGCTGACCTTGAGATTAGCAGTCTGATTTCTAATCACTATGCCAACAGAGCTCCCTTAATATACTATTGTTATAGTTGTTGTTAAGTGCCCTCGAGTCAGTTCCGGCCCATAGTAACCCTGAACAGGGTTCCAAGGAGCAGCTGGTGAGCTTGAACCGCCGACCTTGTAGTTCAAATGGTTTTGCAGTCTGGTGCATTAGCTCTGGTAGCATAGTGGTTACGAATCGGGCTGAGAACCACAAGGTTAGCAGTTCGAAACTACTAGCTGCTCCACGGGAGAAAGATGAGGCTTTCTGTTCCCATAAAGATTTACAGCCTCAGAAACGCTCTTCAGGGTCGCTATGGGTCGGAACCGACTCAATGGCACTTAACAACAACAATGCCAACAAAGCTCCCTTACTATACTATACTATTGTTGTTGTTGTTAAGTGCCGTCGAGTCAGTTCCGACCCATAGTAACCCTGTATAGGGTTTCCAAGGAGCAGCTGGTGAGCTTGAACCGCCGACCTTGTAGTTCAAATGGCTTTGCAGTCTGGCGCATTAACTCACAGTGCTACACCAGGACTCCTAATATAGTACAGTAGGCTTTAAAGAGTTCTGGTAGTGTAGTGGTTACAAGTCAGGCTGCTAGCCTCAAGGTCAGCAGTTCAAAACTACTAACTGTTCCATGAGAGAAAGATGAGGCTTTCTGCTCCCATAAAGATGTAAAGCCTCAGAAACCCTATACAGCATTGCTATAAGTCAGAACCAACTCCACGGCAAACTAAGTAGGCTTTATGAGGGTTGGGCATGGATATATATGGAGTTGGACATTGCCAGACTAGACATTATGGTACGTGACTGTACTATTTGCCAGTTCCTTAGCACGAAGGGTAGATGTTGATTGGAAAACAATGAATCTGACATAAGAGAACAGCAGCATTTTAAGCATTTACTGGGGTGGAAAGTAGGATTTTCTTGTAAGCAAATTCTGATCAATTTGCTGATGGATACTGATTGATTAGCAATGTCTTCCACAGACGTCAACTTTAGCCATTCTTCAAGAACTGATTACAGCTTCACTTATTCTATGCAACTTGTCCCAACTAGTCCAATCCAAAGGAACCCGTCTATTCTGAAAACACTTAGTGTGTGTCCCATTCATTTGATATTTACAAGCCATTGTTTTTGTTAAATGTCATCCAGTGGTTAGATTTTCTTGTTATTACTCTGATTTTGCCACTTATAAGATATACAAACTCTGTCAATGTATTTCAAGTCTACCTGTCTTAGTTTTTTTTTTTTTATTATTTCCTTTATAAACAGAGGACAATATATGTACATCTGTTCTAGGGTTTTTTAAAAAAGTAAGAGATGAGATACATTTACAGCATCATGTATACACTGAATATTCCCACGTTGTACAGCACATAATAAGTGGTCAATGACATTAGTTTCTTCTCAGCCCAATCCTGGGACTTCCTGACACCTTTTTATATATCCCCAGATCTTAAAGCCTATTTGGAGCTCAATTTATTTGTAGGGGTCTTTTCTTCTTCTTTTGTTCTGAAAAGTCAAGACATTGAATCTTCAAGGTTAGTGATTACATCTCAAGCAGGGTTCAAAATGTCAAAGATCTATACTCATGGCTGTTTTGCTAACTACTCGGTTCCACTCCATGGCATGTACTGGGAATTTATTTTGAACAAGATCATCTTCTGGGCATCCACAGATGTAACCACTGTCTGTTTTATGCAAGTTATCAGCAAATGGAAACACACCACCTTCTCCTTTACCACCATTTCATGTTCCCGTCTTCACTCTCCACCCTATACTCCCCATTTCCCCTTCACTGTTTATTATCTTACACAGTCGTCTATTTTAATAAAAAAACCAGGGGTAGCAGTAGGCCCAGATGATCTAGCATCTGCACAATTGGAGAAAATCCATGCCAACTGTTTACATGCTCCACCTGCCCAACAACCTGCTTTTGAAAACTAGGACTTAATATACATTCATGACCAAATTTAACCTGTCCCTTTCTTATGTTGGAGTCCTGGTGTGGTGCTGTGAGCTAATGCATCAGACTGCAAAGTCATTTGAACTGCAAGTTTGGTGGTTCAAACTCACCAGCTGCTCCTTGGAAACCCTATACAGGGTTGCTATGGGTCGGAATTGACTCGACGGCACTTAACAACAATTTCTTATGTTATTATTTCTCTCTGTTTTTCAGTGACTACCCTGTCTTTTTTAACTTTATTTAGATGTTTCATTCAATGCCACCCTTTCCTTTCTATTCACACATTCTAAGTGAAAAACAGAACCGTTTCTCATTACTTCTCACTCTTTCAGATATGTTTACACATGAGTATGAACAGATCAAATAAACAGGAACTTAGGTTAATTTAATAGAAAAAATAAAATGTGGAATAACATTGATTTTGGCCAGTATCAATTACAACCATTCTACTATATTTTACAAAAAAACAACTGAACATTTTACACATGTACAGTATTTTTCAGTAAAAGTGGAACTGGATTTAACAATGGAGCAAGAATCCAAAGTAAAAAGACAAAAGAAACAGAAGATAGATAGGACTTTTGTCTCCAGAAAGTTAGAGCATTTGTTAAGTCTCCAAACTTTGTACTATCCATTACATATATCTCATTATGAATATATATATATATATTTATACATAATATATAACATTAACTTAAACTTTGAAAGCATTATGTTCTAGTTAATAATGTTATGTAGATAAATGAAGCAATAACACATTAGTAGTTGAACCAGTATTTCTGCGACATGAGTCTGCGGGGTTGGTAGGAAATGGAATGCATGCGGTAGACCCCAATGGATTTGATTGTCATGTGGGTTGTTATTTGTCTGAGAACACAGACATCATTTTGATCTTTCCAAGCATGACAAGGTTGTACTCAAGTAGTATGTGCTGTTTCAATGAAATGGGCTGCTTGGCAAACATATCTGGTCTATGCCATCTGCTTGACTTTGCTTTACGTTTGTGCTTACATTTGTCTGTGCTTTAAGTGTAAGATTATATTCTGTGCCCAGGATTAAATTGCTTTCTGCATGTCAGAGGGGCTTGCTGTGTTATGAAGAGGAGAACTGTTCATTAAATTAGTTGCTTATGAATCCTGTGACTCTCTATCACTACAATGTACTGAGAGGGCCATGACACTTAGTCTTCATCTTGGGTTGCAAGAAAAGTTAACTTGGGAATGACTTTTCAAGGTTGGCTTCTGAGGAGTTTGCTGCTTAGACAGGGACTTTAGCATCCACTTCCCAGTTCCTTCTCAGGAGAATCTATCTTAATGTCATTCCTGTTCAAGCTATGGATGCACTGACACTTTGGAAATGCGGCTCTCAGAAGCATGAAGGCTAAAAGATGGCTGGTCACTCCCTAAGAAAATGAGGTCATCAATGGAACGTTGCTTTGAAAAATGAAGAAACTTGATATTGGCCTATACTCCTCTAAACAGAGAAACTCAGAATTGTTTTAAAAAAAAAAAAAAAAAATAGATCAGGTTTGCTCATTTCTGACCATGGATCCAATTCAAGTTTCTAATAATTCTATCTGCTAGTTTCCAGGATGTATTAGGGAATCACAGAAAACCAGGGAAGATATTTCAAAGAAAACAACATTCATTGGACAGCTATATCATAGCACGGTTTCAGAAGGACAGAGCAGTGAAGAAATAACACAACCAGAAGGGTACAATCATGCTGCCCATCTTCTATTCCAGTTTTATTTTCTTAAAGTGACAAGATGAAAAAATGTCTAATAAGCACCATTGAAAATGTTGCCCAGCCAAACTGGGCACAAACTTAAATATAGTTTAAATAAATTCCATTTATTTAAAAATACAGGACCTTTTAGAAACTTTTGACTCCAGGAAGGAATTTTCTGCATCATGTCCAAAATACTTCCTGTCTCAACAAATGGCATTTTTTTTTGATGGCCTTTAAGAAAATGTTATGGGGGCAGTGGCTGGATAGCACCAAGAGATTGTGCAGGGCCCATAAAATTCACACTCTGGATTTCAGGGGAGCTGGATCAGTCTAGCTCTATTATCTAGTTCTGCATTCTGCCTATCGGTAATTTGACAATATAGAGAGATCCTATTGGACTAGTGGTGTGTAAAAGAACCCAACCTACAATGGAAAAACTAGTAGCAGCAAGTTTATCTGATGAAACCGGTGAAGCAGACTTATCAAGTGAGAAGAATGCAAAAACCAGCACCCAATGCTTGGAGTAAATTAAGTGCGTATGTATCAATGCTCAACTGTGGTGAAATGCAAAAAAAAACAAACAACACTGAACACAACTTTGTGGGATGTTCTCAATGCCTTCAGGTCCAATTCCTGACAGTTCCCCCAATGGTGGATAGAAGTTTGAAAAATTGAGTAAGAGCTTTCACTTTCATCTTGATCTATGTATGCTCTTCAACGTTTTTGAAAGGTATTTTTAAACATCTCGAAGGGGAAACAAGTAAGTCAATGCAAAAGGGAAAAACCAACAACAACAACAACGAAAAAACGGACCTTCAAAACCAGGGCAGGAAATCAAATCATTACTTTAACGTCAAATTTTGGCATCAAATGCTTTGGTCATATAATACTGTCTCTGTGGTTCTGGCTGTTTAGTGCTAAACACACAGTTATAAAAGGTAGGCTTGTTGTAGGTTTAATATTAAATTTTTTTTTTTTTCCATTTAACTTCTAACAAAACAGTTCACCATCTCCCTGCACAAACTGGAGAGAGAGAAAAAGAGAGCAAAAAAGAGAGAGGTGGGTTGCTTTTTTTGTTTTTTTTTTTTTGTTGTTTTGTTTTGTTTTTAATAATAATATGGAGTAATCTATAAGTCTACAGGAACAAAGAAATCTGGGATGGCTGCTCAGCCTTGAAATGTACATGTTTTGCAGCACAGTTGTTGAAGAACCTTCCGTTGACACAGATTGTTCTTTTTCACTAACGTACAGAAGCCACCTTCCGCCCAGGATTCTTCCGTTGCTTTTCCGGGAAGTCAGCAAAAGAGAGGGGGGAGTTGAGGATGAGAACAGCATGATGTACACACACGGAAGGAGGTTTTGATTGGTCAGAGAGGCAGATTGGGGGTTGGGAGAGGCCATTCAGGAGCAGTCAATAAGGAAGAAATTTGGTCCACCCAAAGTGATTTCAGTCAACAGCATTGTTTTTCAAGGAGAGACATTGCAGTCCAACAGGAAATGTGATTGGTATCCATTTATGAAGGGGAGGGGAAAAAAAAAAAGATTAGAAAGAGAATAAATTAGAAACCAACAATAATATAAGCAAGAAGTTTTTCTCTTTAGAATTACCTGCAGCAAAGGGTATTTGGTAATTTATATAACATTTCATTGAATCTAAGACACAGTGGATTTTCAGATGTTTCATTATGTTAAGTACTACAAGAAAATGCTTATTAAACCGGTATGCAATACTTGTTTGGAGCACTTAGAATTTTCATTCAAAACTTGAAAGTGTTTGCTGTTTGGTTTCCAAGAACACTTTCTTTGAAGATTGAACCATAATCTCTGTTTTTGAAGCTGTTCTGAATTGTAGTTGAATTCAATACATTTAGCAGTAATGATGTGCCTGACTGTTGATAGCAGAGTAACTAAGAGTCATACCTACACAAGGACAACCATGTTGTGTCAACCTACTGGGCAATGCCAAAGACTAGATGATGCACTTGACATCAGACATGTTAAAATGTGAAAAATATGTGTCTTAGAATCAGTGAAATATGAAAAGAGAGGGGGAAAAAGTACATCCTGAAGTGACCTGAAAGGTCTGGTGAATACTCATCATCTCATTTTTAACAAAATCTGAAAAAGGACTCATTGAAAATTATGATTCTTCATTTTCCACTTTTGCCCACAGTCCTGATACTCCACTTTCACCCAGCGCTATCTGACATAACTTCTCTCACGTTTACATTGGTTTAGGAAAAACAGTTAAAACATGAGAAACCTTGGGATGCAATGTATAATTGTGGTAGGAGAAATTTTCAAGTTACACTAGAATTCCTGAGTCAATCACTTAATAAAAAAGTTTTTTAGTTTTCAGGTGGCTGACTAAAGAAAACTCTGATCATATTTAAATATTGGAAACTATGTTTTTGATTAAGAGTTAGAAGACACTTGTGGATAGGTACAATGATACTTACATGGTCATTGGGATGCCATGTCCATTCCTCTTACCCCAGTATGGGCAGGTAGGATTGGCCCTGGTCAAAATAACCCTCAACCATGCAGAGCCTGAGTGGGTCTGGCTAATCCTTCCCAGACCAATCATACACCAGGAAAGCTAGGGAGAGGCAAGATCATCTATGATGCTTCATGGAAACAAGGCCACAGACAATGTTCTATCAGTGTCCTCAGGTGCTCAGTTCTTTAAGCAACCCTTTTAAGATGCCCAATACGGAGCTGAGGAATAACCATATGAAGTTGACACATTACACTCATTTAATAAGATCCAGGGAAGCTCATAACTTACCCAAAGTTTGGAGCCCAGTTAGATTTCCAGAAAAAGAAACATTCAAAGGAAGGAAAAGAATAAACTCCAAGGTATGATCTTGTCAAATTAAGACTGATTCAAATGTTTACTTTCTTTTTCTATTTTTGTAATAAGAAAAAGAAGAAAATCTCCAACAGTATGGAATGTCATAGTGGTAGCAATAATGAGTTCAAATACAGCAATAATTGTAGGGATGGTGCAGACCAGGAAGTGTTTTGTTTTGTTGTGCACTTAAAAACAACATTTTCATAAGAATCCAAAGATGCTTAAAACAACCATGGTTCAAAATAATACCCTTTGATGCCATTAAGACTTGGTGTCGTGCTATAGGATAAGCACTGGAATTTTAACGGCAAGGTCGGCAATTCATACCCACCAGCCACTCCTCAGAAACCCTATACAGGGTGGCTATGTGTCAGGCTATGTGAAGACACTTAACAACAACAGTAACTGCATACCATTGAGATGTATGGCTTGCATTGAATTTAGTCACAAATTTGAGCTCCACTTAGCATGAATTATATAGAAGATCTGTGGTGGGGGTGGAGTGATAGAGTCAAAATTCACAAAATGTTGGAGTTGGAATGATTTAAATTCACTCGTTTTACAGATGAGGTAAGAAGTGAGGACTTGTCATTTGTCAGTTGTTGGCAGAATGGGGTAAGTAGCGGTTCTCAAAGCTAAGTGTATTTTAGAAACACTTAAGGTGCTTCTAAAAATATCCTTGCATTCCAGATCATCCAATTCAAATCTTTGAGGGAGGTTCCTGATTGTGAACCAATGATGCAAAGGAAAGAACAGTGGACCAACATTTAGAAGTTTTAAGTTCTCTACATTGTCCTATTCCTTTCTAAATACACTTTGGGGTTTTCCTTCTGTATTGTTGGAATATTAATTCCTAGCTTCAGAAGCTTAATAAAAGGTTCAGATGCCATGTGATTATTTACTTTGTCATGCCAGTCTGTAAACTAATGGGCTTCTGAAGACATGTCCAGGTGCTTTTACCAACCAATATCTTTTGACAATTGGATAATTTCTCTTTGTGCGCTTGGTTTCATGATTTAATTTCCATTGGCAACCCATTAAGTATTATTAAGTATAACTATGTATATTCTATTTATAGTTCAGAAAAAAAGGAAGGCTCATCTATTCCAACATTTCAATGCTTTTGATCGCTGAATGGTGGTGAATTACAATGGAAAATACTGAAAATCACATATTAAAAAAGACTCAAGAATTTTCCAAAATTAAGAATCCTAAATGTGAACAAAGCTTTATGCACATCGTAGTCCACAGCCATGTTATTTACATATTAAAAATATAAACACACCAAATGATGGTTAAAAAAACCCAAACAAACACTATATTTTAGTGGTAAAGAAACAAATAATGGTCAAAACAAAGGAAAACAAAACAAAAATAATCAAGGCATCTTCACATAACAGAATATTATCCTGATATTAAAAATGAACTTTCTAAAGACTTTTATGAGTTCTTGACTCACCAGCCACTCCCAGAAACCCTACACAGGATTGCTATGAGTCGGAACTGACTCGAGGGCACTTAACAACAACAATATATAAACATATTAGGCTTCAGAATAGAAAGATATTTTGTTGAAGAGATCAAAATGAGCAGTTATACTCACCGTCCTTGCAGATTGCTCCCATTTGACACATCCCTAAGTCTAAGAGATACCCACTGGGGCAGCTTGTACAGTTCTTGAAACCTGGACCATTGCAGGTTAAGCAGCTGATGTCACATCTATGGGAACAATGTACAATGGATGATCCTTTCCCACATCAAGCACAAGAGAAGGTGCATTTATGATGAACATCTGAATGTCTTAATCTTAATTCTCCCTTTGAAGACAACACAGAAATCGTTTACGATGGTAATTGCTAGGTTTGGCAACATTAAAGAAAACCCAGCAGACAGAAATTGTGATTTTTAAGGAGGCATAGCAAGTATTTGAAACAGAAATATTACCTTAAAGGTTTTTAAAAATACTCCTGAGGCAATAAAAAATATCAAAGATAAATGGGGTTAAAGTCACAGGGCAGTGTTCATTTGCAAATGTTTGAAGCTTAGTTCATCATTAAAACTTCTAAGTATTCTAGTTTGGCAATTCCATAAAAAGTTAAACACAGAACGTACAATGTTCGTTTTAGCACTACTTACAAACCTCAGAAGGTGGAAAGAGCCTAGTCCATAAATGAACAAATGAATTTTAAAAAATGGAGTATTACTTAGCCATTAAAAGAAATGAAGTCTTGAAACATGCTGTGACATGAATGGACCTTGAAAATATTATGCTGAGTAAAGCATGTCAGTTACAAAAGGACAAAGTTATATGATTCCACTTGTATGATTAATGTCATCTATAGATCACAGTAAGGAGCTCTGGTAGCGTAGTGGTTACGAATCGGGCTGCGAACCGCAAGGTCCACAGTTCGAAACTACCAGCTGCTCTGCGGGAGAAAGATGAGGCAATCTGCTCCCGTAAAGATTTACAGCCTCGGAAACCCTGTTCAGGTTCTCTATGGGTCGAAACCGACTCGACGGCACTTAACAACAACAACAACATAGATCACAGTACTTAACAACAACAACAACAACAACATATTACTAAGCAGGAGCTCTGGTAGCGTAGTGGTTACGAATCGGGCTGCGAACCTTAAGGTCAGCGGTTCGAAACTACCAGCTGCTCCGCGGGAGAAAGATGAGGCTTTCTACTCCCGTAAGGATTTACACCCTCGGAAACCCTGTACAGGGTCGCTATGGGTCGGAACCGACTCGACGGCACTTAACAACAACAACAACATAGTGGTTACAAATCGGGCTGTGAACTGCAAGGTCAGCAGTTCGAAACTACCAGCTGTTCCGTGAGAGAAAGATGAGGTTTTCTGCCGCCCATAAAGATTTACAGCCTCAGAAACCCTGTAAAGGGTCGCTCTGAGTTGGAACCGACTCCACGGCACACAACAACAACATATTACTAAACTGTATGTGTAAAAAATGTGAATTAGCAAATGTAGTATATATATTTTACAATGAAAAAATAAAAATCTAAAATTTTGTATTACTTATGAAGGCAGTCATATATAAGAAAGTAGAAATCAAATGCTAGAACCGTGGGGGCAGATCCACTTACTTTTTGCAGGATTTGTATCCATTCTCTGAAGAGTGATCAAAGTAGTAGCTGATACTACAGGTTTGCACACATCGCCCATCCTCCATGAAGTAGCCCTCAGTGCAGTTGATGCACGCATCGGCACCTGCCCCTTAAAAGCAAGACAAACACAAGGCATAGAGACAAAACTTCAAACAGAGGCTGTGTAATGGGCTTCTTCTGAAACAGACTGTGAAGATAGCAGCAATTAGTTGCAATTTTAAGAGTTGTGATTTCATATTATAATCTGGCGGATACACTTTTTTGGAGTCCTGGTGTGTCGCTGTGGGTTAATGTGCCAGACTGCAAAGTTGTTTGAACTGCAAGGCCGGCAGTTCAAGCTCACCAGCCACTCCTCAGAAACCCTATACAGGTTTGCTTTGGGTCAGAATCGACTTGATGGCACTTAACAACAACAACAATTTCATATGTGTGCTTTGTCCTACTTTCTTTGGGGTTAAAAAAAAACAAAACAACATGAATTTTCAATACATCAAATCTCTTTCATAAAGAGAAAAAGATGCCAGCAGGATATTTATCAATAGCCTATCCATGGTAACCTATCAATAAGGATAGGCTATCGATACTTGTTTGACTGTCAATGGAAATACAGATATACTGATAGAGAAATAAGCTTCTCAGAGATGTCTAAAAACTGCTAACATTTAATTAAAAAAATACCAAGTGAGTTGCCTTAAGTAAAAACAGTTGCCTTAACTAAAGCAAAACCATAGCCAGAAGAATAAAGGGAAAGAATTTGGGAAGTGGGATGGGGTGGTACCAGCACAGGTGGAACAGGAGCGGTGACAGGGTTGACAATCCTGGCCATTGAAGTACCATCCCTCCTCACAGGTGACAGAACACCGCGACCGCTGCAGGCTGAAAGAAACAGAAACAAAGCTTGACACAGACAGTTGCAATTCAGGCAAAGAGATAGGACTCCCCAAACTCCATATGCAACAAATAGAGTTCTCCTTGAAGATGTGGGGCTTTGGCAAAGCTTCAAAGCAGAGTCATCATTCCTTGTACCGTCTTTTCCCTTCCTGATGCCTATCAGTCTTCTCTGTGACTACACACTGCTGTCGGTAGTAGTACATGTTCTTCTAGGCTTTGGGGATATTCTGCTTATTTTTAGATTGACTGACCTGCTTCAGCTTTGGTCAACATCTTCCAGCCCCGAGTCTTTTACAAGTATTTTTATTGACAGAGCAATTCTTTTTATTGACAGAACAATTACCTAATAATATGGAGTATCCCCTAATATCTAGACCTACTATATAATTATGCTTAAAGTTATTTTGTAGTTACAAATGCAGTAGTAACAGGTGATAAGATGCATTCCAACCAAATAAAAGTGTACAATTAACTATCCTTGCCCAATCCCAAAACCAGATTCTCAGAAGCAACTTTCGTATTTTTTTTTCAGTATTTCTGATTTTTGTTCTTCTATTGGTTACCATCTAAATAACGACATTCTAATATATTTATGCCTTTATTTCCTAATGTTAGCCACGCTAAGGAGGAAATGAGCATAACTATCTACCTATGCCGCTATTTCTTCAAACGTCTTGATTTTTCTTTCTTTTTTTTCCAGCAATTATGTGCCAGTCCCTGGTAAAGGACATCATGCTTGGTAAAGTGAGGACCAGAGAAAAGGAGGAAGACCCTCAATGAGATAGTTTAACACAGAGGTTGCAACAATGGTTTAAGCATACCACCAACTATGAGGATGGAACAGGTCCGGGCGGGGATGGTTCTACTCTATTGTACCTTTGGGTCCCTATTGCAGCGCATTCAACAGTATCTACTACTAACACTATGCACAATATTATATAATTAATTTAAATTTATCTTTAGCGTACCTAGACATTAATGAGTTACATGTTGGATGTGGAATGTCCTAATCTATCAGCTATATTTTTGATAGCTTCAAAATGAAAATAAAGAATCAATACAATGATATCATCCATTGTATAACCAAATGGTATAATTGGAAGAGAAAGAAATGTAAACCTGTCACCAAATTGATGATACTCAAATATGTGTATCTTGATCAACAAATTCAAATGCTTTCTAGCTTCTTAAACATCTGTGTTTCCTAAATGGATCACACTAATTTTAAAAAGTAAAATTTATTTTTCCTTATGCTCACTAAAAAAATTGCAAAGTACAAAAATAAGGTAGATTGGGGGAAAAAAAAAAACCAACCAAAAAAAACCTCATCCCAAACAGTCCCTGTTAACAGTTTGATCCATTTCTTTCCAGTATTTTATGCAAAGATTTCTTTTCTTCCTGTTTCTTCTTAGCCACCCTTTAAAAATTTACTGGTCTCTTGAGAATAATGGTCACCCCTAGGAGTTCACGGAAAAATGTAAGGAACTTGAAGGAGGCTGAGGACAGCAAACAGAAACTATGCTGTATTCAGCATCTCCTGACTGACCAGAGAGGGTTGTTAAAATAGCCAATAAAAGAAAACCCCCTCCTTTTCTGTAGAAGTGGAAACAAGACACTGCATCAAATGGCATCCTTCGGTGGGAGGAAAGAGGACTCCAGAAATCTTATCAGAGCTCTTACAAAGTTGTCTCATTTTTCTAATATAAGAACTTTCGAGGTTGGCATTTATTCAGCAGGGCACAGAGGCTGCGCGGTGTGAGTAAGGAATGAGCTAAATGAGAGGTGCGGTGTAGAGTGTATGATGTACAATGTGACCCTGGAATTTCCTGCTGCTTCCAAAACACTGGTGTCATAAGGCAAATGGAATGGTACCCGGGACACCTGGTGAGAATGCCTACATGCTTTCTTTGATAAAACACACCTTGAAGTGTGGCTGGTGTGATCAAGGAACTGAATTTTAAATGTTACCTAAGTTTAACTAATTTAAATCTAAATGGAAAAAATGGATACTTCATTCAGTTGCTGGCAAATGTAAGTTTAAAACAATGTGACCATCTAAATCTACTTTTTAGAGTAAATTTTATGAAATCTAAATACAGATCAGCTCAGGAGTCCTGGGGTGGCGCTGTAGGATAAGTACTGGACTACTAATTGCAAGGCTGACAGTTCAAACCTACCAGTCGCTCCTTGGAAACCCTACATAGGGTTGCTCTGGCAGTGTAGTCGTTACGAGTCAAGTTTCTAACCTCAAGATCAGCAGTTTGAAACTACCAGCTGTTCTGTGGGAGAAACATGAGGCTTTCTGCTCCCATGAAGATTTATAGCCTTGAAAACCCTATACAGGGTGGCTATGAGGCAGAACTTACTCTGCGGAACTTACCACCGCCATGAGTCGGAAGTGACTCAACAGCACTTAACGACAACAATAAATATAGATCAATAATTTCTCATATATAAAATAATGCTCTAAAGTAACATGTGTTTTAAGTACCAGATATGTAGGTAAATAAAATATTTTATTAAAATCAATTTCTTTCTTTTTAACTTTTTATTGTGAATTGAGTGAAGGTTTGCAGACCAGATCATCAGTTTTACATTCAACAAATCACACACTTTATTTCATTTCAATGATTGTGATCACCTACACGCAACAATTATTCCACCTCATCCCTGTGTTTCTTCCCTGTTTCCATTCTTCCACCCACCTTCCCTTCCCTTCTCAACTTTGTCTTTAGGTAAGTGCTGCTCTTTTGATTTTGAGTAACTGACCATTCTGTAGTGAGCATATCCCCATTATATGCCTATCTACCTATTGTTGTTGTCAAGTGCTGTCAAGTCGGTTCCGACTCATAGCAACCCTGGTGAGTTTGAACCACCAACCTTGTGATTCAAACTGACCTTGCAGTCTAGTGCGTATCCTACAGTGCTACACCAGGACTCTTACTTGGCTTACAATTGGGCCATGAGGCAGACTTCCTTTTCAGATCTGAAGGCCATAGTCTCCAGCTTCCCTCAGTTTCTTTCTGACCAGAAAGCCGGGTCTTTTTTTTTTTATAATTTTGAGTTTTGTACTACATTTTCTCCCACTCTATCAAAGACATTGTAATGTGATCCCTTTCATAACAGTTGGTATTAGTAACCAGATACCATCTTGTTTTTCTGGTCTCAGAGTCATAGGGACTGATGTTGGCATGGTAAAATCGATTTTACCAGCTTGCTTCTTACTTCTTTTAATATGATTACTGGAATATTCAAAATGACATGTGTGGCTCTCATCATGTTGATATTGGAGAGTGCTGGTCTAACTCATTATGTCAGCTATTTCTTAGGATGTGTGCTTTGTCAATAGAACAACTAGGATGTGTGCTTTGTCAATGTTAAGACAGTTCATCCTTACCTAGCATAGCTAAGTAGGGGCTATTATCCCCATTTTATAGAAGACTTGCTCAAAGTCACACAGATAATAAACAGCAGAGAATCTGGATGCATATCTTCCTTCCTTCTGTTTCATTATGTTACTCTGCTCCTTCTCCAAGAATTAGGAGTCCACAGCGAATTATCAAGAATAAAGTTATGAGATGAAAGGTGCTAAGAAAACTCACACTGATGGTACTTGTGGGAAAACCAAAAATCACACATAATAAATCCAAATGGAAATGGTGTTTCAATGTTGATCAGATATTCAAGAAATCTAAATTAAAATGTTCCAATATTGATAAGTAGTAACAATTAACTGCTTGGAAACTGCCTAATCCCATTACTGTTGAGTCAACTCCAACTCATAGTGACCCCATGTGTGTCAGGGTACAATTGTGCTCCATAATATTTTCAATGTCTGATTTTTCAGAAGTAGATCACCAGGTTCCTCTGGGTAGACTCGAATCTATAATCCTTTGGTTAGTAGACGAGTATGTGTTAACCACTTATAGCACCCAAGGGCTCCAGACACTGGAGTATAATGATAATATACTATCAATGCCTACAAGGGACCCACTACAACAGAATCAGAACTCTGTGCAAACTCAGAGCCTAACTCCTCACTCAGTGTAGGTCAAGACTTGACCTTTGCTACTGAGATCAACAGGGTACCTTGTTCTTTGGAGTTGCATATTGCAGTTTACAGATTCTACCAAGTATCTCACTTTTGCAATGAGCAAGCCATCCATTCAAGGAAAACATCCTCTGGTGTTAAATCTATGTGTATACTATAGCATAATGGAACCAAGCCTGAGGTACTTAAGATAAGAGAAAGATTGGCTATATGGAGAGACATAATAAAGATAAGGGAATAGTTTCCCAACCATCAAAGGAATAAGTCAGGGGGATTAAATATAATTCATCGGCATTACCTGCACAGCAATCCCTGACTGGTACACTGCAGGTCAAAAGCATGAAGAATGCCTCTCAAAGGGTCATTTTTATTGACTTGTATCTGAGCAATCTTTTCTAAAGAGAATTTTATTTGATTTATAAACTTTTCTTAGGGAAGATGGTATACAATTTGTCACATAAAATGGTAGAGAGAATGCAAATAGCAATCAAATGTCTCAGTGGGAGTCAAATCAAAGGTATATGGTAACAGGGTTATTTATTTACTTTTTTCTACTTGACTTATATTGAGAAATTCCCGGGTTGTGTGGCTTGATAAACTCCTTTACTCTCTTACCTTAACCCATCCCTACATTCTGTACAGTTTTGAGACTCAGTACATGTCTTGCAGTTTTCACTGCATTTCCGGCAAAGACTTTTCTCTGTTAAAAAAAAGAAAAGAAAAGAAATGTACCAAGGTTATAAATCAGTCAGTCAGTTGGATTTTGTAAAAGCATGAGGGGACATTTGGATGTTTGATAATGTATGCCACAGTATTCTTGGCCATGAGCAGAAAGTTGCAAGGAAAGCCCAGACTCACTGTTATCACAGGCAGTAATGGCAGCGGCATGAGGCATCTGGATGGTCATTCAAGAGAATGACTCAACTACTTCTTAGCTGACTCATCTGTACTCTGTCCTGCCACCTCCCCTTTCTCTCTCTCAAACAAGGTTTTCAAACTTCCACCGGTGAACATTTCCACCAATGAAGCTAATGCCACACCACTGTGGAAGCAATGGGAAGCAATTCTTGAGGCACGATAGACTTCCAGGCTCAAAGCTTCCAAGGTTACTCTGATACACTCTTCTACATTTAAGACTGGGAGATCTTATGCATGGATGTCCAGTCGGTTCCAACTCAGAACAACCCTGGATAGGGTCTCCCAGGCTGTACATCTTTACTGGAGCAAAAAGTCTCATCTTTCTCAAATTAAGCTGGTGGGTTTAAATTGCTGAGCTTTAGGTTAGCAGTCCAGTGCTTATCCACGAAATGTTGCTGTTGTTGTTAAGTGTCGTCGACTTGGTTCTGACTCATAGCGGCCCTGTATAGGGTTTCCAAGGAGCTACTGATGAACTTGAACTGCTGACATTGTGGTTCAAACGGACCTTGCAGTTCAGCACGTTAACACACAGTGCCACACCAGGGTCATTTAATTTATTTCTTACATTGCCTCAAACAGCATCTTGCACCTTATGTCTGCTGTGGAACTGATATAAATGTTACTATATTGGTGTGGACTCCTTGTGTGGCACTGTAGGATAAGCACTGGACTGCTAACCACAGGTTGGTGATTGGTTTCAACCCACCAGCTGCTCCTTGGAAACTCTATACAGGGTTTTTCATAGTCACTATGAGTTGCAATTGACTCAATGACACTTAATAACAACAAATATTGGTGTAGGCATGTCAGATAAGCACTGGATTACTAGATGCAAAGTCAGTGGTTCAAAACCATCAGTTGCTCCTTGGAAACCCTATATAGGATTTGCTGAGTCAGAACCAATTCAAGGGCACTTAACATCAACAACAAATTTCAGACAACATCTGTATTCTGGACACTAGAAATGTATTTGATTGAACAAATCTATGGTAGATACTGGATACCAAAGTCAGGTTTACATTGGGAAAAAAAAAAGGCAAATTCACGATTGAGTATGTGGTCTATTGTTTGATCATAAAGAAAGGTTATTTAGTATACTAACCTTCAGTGGCTATTGAGTTAGTTCTGACTAACGGTGACCTCGCATGTGTCAAGATAGAACTGTGCTTCATAAGGGGTTTCCATAGCTGATTTTTTTTTAGAAGTAGATTACCAAGCTTTTCTTCTAAGGATCCTCTGGGTAGACTTGAACCCTTTGCCTTCAGTTAGAAGCCAAGTACATTAATCATTTGCTTCATTCAGGGAGTCATTGGTATATTAATTAAAGTCTTTTATCTTGGATACAATTTTGCTAAAGACTTGGGACCTGCTCTAAAATGCAAGTGAATGATATCTACATATATGTGCAGAATTGAATGAAGTTTTTTCATTGGCTTCTCTTTGTCTAACTTCTCTATTTACTGGTGTTCTTCAGTGTTCCAGAGAGAAGCCATGCTTTAATGGATCCCCAGAAAGACTTACTGGATTGAGTCTGAGTATACCAGCTTAAAACATGAAGTGTTTTACAATTTCATAGTAATTTATCCTATAGAATTCCTCACTGCATCATTTGGAATCCTGCATATAGCACAGGATCAGTCAGCAGTTCAAACCCACCAGCGGCTCCTTGGAAACCCTAGACAGGATTTCTATGAGTCAAAACTGATTCCATAGGCACTTAACAACAACAAAGTGAGAGGACCTAGATTTACACTCAGCTCTTAGCACCTCCACTGAGCAAGTTCAGCATCTCTGTTCTCTCTCTTAGATTACAATGATGCTTGTCTTGAGGATGCAATAAAAGTAGACAAGGAAACTGCATGAATTCTAAAGCATTGTACACTTGTTGGCAGCATTTATTATTACTTGTCATGATCATATGTGATCACCATGTTGTATATAAATGGACCCACTCAAGGATGAAACTGTAACAACAGGAAATTATATAAAAGGAAAGAGATTCACTGACCAGTTGTATCAATACCATATAGTAGCAGAAGGCTTATTTGAGCAAACTTGCCTTAATTATCTACCTCCTAGGATCTGGAGCCCTGGTATGGCACTCTTGGATAAGCACTGGACTTCTAAGCACAAGGTCGGTGGTTTAAACCTACCAGCTGCTCCTTGGAAACCCTAAACAGGGTAGCTATGAGTCAGTAGCGACTTGATAGCACTGAACAACAAGGAGCTGGAAAATTAAGTGACTCTCACAATTATCTTGATCCTGCCATACAATATTTTAGAACCAAATTTATTTTCCAACGCTCATAGTCTTGATAGAATTTTGATTCACCCGCCTCACCCACCATGCAAGGAATAGTGCGTTACTTCTGTGGATCCCTTACCTATCACCCTCCCTGTTCCCGTTTTCTACTTTCTCTTTAACTTGTGGTTCATGTTCCAAATTTTGTAGCAAATAAGTACAGGGAAATTTCTACCCACCATTCTGTAGACATGATAGACACTGCCTTTGAATCACTAAATAATTTGCCTTCTTAAGATGAGAGAGTATTGTCAGAATGTTACCTGATTCTATTGAATTCTTGTTTTTTTTGTTTGTTTGTTTTTTGTTTATAATTTGACTTCTCTTCTTTCTTAAGTTGAGTGAATACATATGACTTCAGTGTCATCCTATACCATGCTTTGTTACTATTGTTACAACAAATTATCCAGGGTTCAGAAATACAGCAAAGATTATTATTTGTCTTTGCAGTGTCATGTTGGAGTGTTTACAGCCCAAGAATTGTTTACTTCTCTAAAAGAATATTCATTTTCTGTTTATTAATCACAGTTGAGAGAGTCCAAACTCTGCGAAGTTACATGTTAATTTGCAGATTTTTGTTTAGATGAATTGCAAATGATTTCTAGCCATTACAGTAAGTAATCCCTATGTAGGAAATGAATCAATTTTGTCTCTACCTTGATTTCATTTTGCCTTTCCTGGTAGACTAAAATGCCTGATCATCTCTGTACCCATTTGCAGACTCCCTCATTAATGGGTTACATAAATCTTTCAGATATTTTCACCAGACATTACTGATAGTCATTTCCACCCGCAAACTTCTGAACATTATGCTTTGATGCTATAGAGGCTTGGCCCTGTTTTGTTAGCATGAAGAACAGCAAGTTTGAACATTATCTTTGGAAAGATGGGCTTTCAAAGTTTGCCATTGGCTGGCATCTAGAAACTTGGATGTTGGGAGTGTTCCCACTATGCTTAATAAGAGTCGCTTACTGTATACCAACAATGCAGTTTCTGCTGAACTACTGTTTTCCTTCTGGGAGTCTGGAATTTTGGGAGAGGATGTCTATCTGATAGTGCCTGATAAAACCCTTGGGTGCTGAGTCTCGGATGAACTTCTGGACTGATGACATTTTACACACACAGTCATAAATTGTTGCTGGGCCCTGGTGGCACAATGGGTTATGTATAGATTGCTAACTACAAGGTCAGTGGTTCAAACCCACCAGCTGTTTTTGAGGAGAAACATGAGGCTGTCTGCTCTTGTTAAAATTTATAGTCTCAGAAACCCTAAGGAGCTGTTCTATTCTGTCCTATAAGATCTCATGAGTTAGAAGCCATTGGGTATCAGTCACTTTGGTCTGTTTATTGGATCATGAACTTGGAGATAACCCTTGAGAGTTATGCATGTTGCTTCCTCCAGACTTCACCTCGTGAACCTTTTCCTTTTGCTGATCCTTTCACCATAACAAAGCTTAGCTATAAGTGCGTAAGGAAGAGACTATACTATATGCCGAGTCTTGTGAATTCTGGGGGTGAGATTGTCTTGAGGACCCCAGACCCAGTTGTTGTTGCTAAGTGTAGTGGAGTTTGTTCTGATCCAGCAACCCTATATAGGGTTTCTGAGGAGTGGCTGATGGGACTTAACAGCTGACTTGGTGGTTAGCAGTCCAGTGCTTGTCCTATATCCCATACCAGGACCCCAAGCCACAGTTAGTTGCAGGCATTTTACATAAAGCTATTAAACAGAGTTCTTAAGAATATCAAATGGCTAGATCCTGGTTTGACATTAAGCAAAGTCTAGAATCATAGGGTAGGAATCTTTCTCCTAAGACCACCCAAGTAAAGAAAACCCACTTTTCCTCTCTAAAACCCAAATATCGGAAATCAACTCACTGGCATCTTGATAAAACCCCTCAGGGCAGTGAGTCACACAACTGTTGGTTTCTTCGTTCAGAAAGTAGCCATATTTGCAGGACAGGCACTGGTCAGTGTGGCTTCCAAAGCAAGACTCGCAGTTGGGGGCACACTTTCTGCATCGTTTCTTGTCGGCGTGATAGTGGCCGGGCGGGCAGCTGGAGACACAGATCCTGCATGGTGCAATGATAAGGAAGAAGTGCCTTGTCACTAGCGACTCAGATTATAGCACCTTCATGAAAGTATGAACATGGTGATTACACCACATCCAAAGAAACAAATTTAGTTTGGTAAAGCTTTTTCACCCACCACAAGGTGTTGAAGCAGCAATGCAGCTACATAACATGAAGTACTTCAAGGAAGGAATTTCTTGGTCCCAACCATGTGTGGTCTCTTCTTACCTGGTGTTGTTCTTCAGTTTGTAGTAGTAATGTAGACAGTCATTGCAGTGGTCTGGTCCCGGCCCGTCACAGCCAACCTCACTGCACTCAGGGTCGCATGGACCTTTCCAAAACAGATCAGAACAACACTTCACACAGTGACTTGAAACTAGGTCAGCTTTACCTTCAATTTAGTGTAGGACTTTTATTGTGAGTTTGTCTCCTTTACGCTGTGAAAGTTTCTTTAAGATGGAAGAATGATCGTCAGTATGGTTAATATGCTCAGAGATATACTTTGGCTTTAAAAAACAGAAAAACTTTAAAACTTTACACTTTGGCTTTAAAAAGCTTCAACTGCCTAAGTATATATAAAAAAATAAACCCTAGTCTTCAAACACATATAGGTGCCTTGTGGGAGACAGCAAATATTTCAAAGTCCAAATGAATGACGCTATTATAGTAACTTGGAAACACATACACATACAACAAAAACCTGATGCAATTAAATATGTGTAACTATAACAATATCTATGGAAAAATGAGAAGTAAAGTTGTTGACAGAAAAGAAGTAAAGGTCATTATTCAATGTCTGGAACAGATTGTCTGTCTCATCCAAGGTCATTAAAGCCACTGAATACCTCTGAGATACCATAGCCAGCAAGAAACATCATTGTGGCATCTGGCAAGAGCTTATCAGCATCGAGTCTTGGATTACAAAGCAGGTACTTCAGGCACAGATAATAGATTTAAAATTGCATCTTGCCCATGAGCCAAGGCAACTCAACAAAAGAAAATGACATATAAATTTAAAAAATGCGAACAAGCTTAAAGAATTCCAGACCTGGGATGACGGTTCTTAATCTCTTCTGCTACAAATTCTTCAAAGTAGAGCTAAAGTCTGCACAGTAAGAAAACAAAAAATCTGCCAAAAGAATGAAGTTCTTTTGTGATTGATGACAAGCTTTCTAATGATACGATTATAAAAGTTTTGCTTGCTTTAACTAACTTCCTCTTTCCTAGTCCTCCATAGTTTGAGACATTTGGTCTTTATAATTCCCAAGCTCCTTTCCATTGGATATTCATATGATTTTTAACTAGCAATGAATATATATTGCATGAAATGTACAAACAATAAGTTAAGAGCACCAGAAAATGCTTTGAAGTGTACATTTTTACTCAAAAGAACTTACTGTTCAATCTTTGTCATTGGTAGTAATAATAGGACTAGATTGTACAATTGCAATTTATGAATTTACAATTTATGAATCATAGAAACATAAAATGTTAGAACTAGGATGGAAGGACTGAGAGAAAACTTTGTAAGCACCTTCATTTCTACTGATGAGAAAACAGATTTTTCAATAGTTCCAATGGTTTGTCCAACATCACAGTGTTGAGTACATAGGGAGAGTTGGGATCAACTGTGCTGATTCCTTATCCAGGCCTCCTGCCTAGTGGTAGTAAATCATGTACTAAAGATGAGCTCCTGATCAGAATGAAAATGAGTCATTTGAAAATATTGCAGACTTGGAATACATTTCTGATTAATCGCAAGAGCAATCTGACAGTACTGTTTATCTCTATTTCCCCCAAGCCTCAAACTAACCTCTAAATTAAATTCCACAGTGAGCACATCTTGGGATATTTTATCCATCGAGTAGTATACAGAGTTGCTATGAGTAGGAACCGACTTGACAGCACTTAACAACAAACAACAACATGGTACACTAGGGGAGTGCTGTTGAAACTGAAGTTGAGCCAGCTTTTAGTCTCTCAGCCATGGTGATTCAATGGAATCGTACAGGGATCTAGTTAAGACAATGCTATCTATGCCTGTGATTTCGAGGTGAATACTGAAATCACGGGTCCAACAGGATCGAAATTTTTACCAGCTGACTTCTTAAAATAAAAAACAAACACCTAAGCACATTTATTCTTGATATTAGCCAATTGAGCTCTGTATGACAAGGTGTTCAAATTCATTCTGTGCTATTTGTATTATAATTGTAAACTGTTCTATATTCATTTTAACATTATAAGCTACAGAATAGTATTGAAATAATGGTCTGTTTCCCTCACAAGTGCTAATGTGGATATTTTGAAGCTATAATGGGAAAAACCACAAAGGCGTATAACTGTATTTGTACTTCGTTCAGAATCTTAGCATTACCAAAATTGAAACTAGAAACACACACACAGGTTACGATTATACCCATTTATGTGTTTGGATATACTTTGTAACATTAGAGAAGACAAAATGGTTTTCTAGGCACAACATGTACAGCAAAAAAAAAAACCATAAAATCTAACACAACCTAGCTCTGGTTAGTTCAGTTGGTCTTAATTATCCAAACCTATCACTAATTCTGGGATACTACCAGTTCAAAATGAAAGGAACTGCATGAATATTTAAGATACTCTATCAAGGTAACTAATGAAGTACTTTCTTTGGAATCTAAGGGAAGAATCTCAGGGAATTATGTTCCTTTTAAAGCTACATTAAATCATAGTTTATAACAAGTTTTTCCATTCTGGAAAACTATGTCCATTAAGTGTTATGTAATACATCTAAGAAGGTCTACACATTTCAGGAAACTATGGAACCGACTCAAGGGAACTTAACAACAACAAGAACACTAGGGCCAGTGGAAAAAGACAGCAATAAAAATATATTGGGAAGGAGAAAAAAAATATTTTCAGATGATGTGACAAAAGTACCTAAACTGCCCAAGAAAATTAATTCTAAAACTTCTGAGAGAGTTAAGCAAAGAGGCCAGATAGAAGATAAATATGCAACAGCCAGTGTGCTTATCAGAAAGCACAGAATATTTTCTATTACAATAATGTTGTTGTTGTTGTTAAGTGCCGTCGAGTCGGTTCCGACCCATAGCGACCCTGAACAGGGTTTCCAAGGGTGTAAATCTTTACGGGAGTAGAAAGCCTCATCTTTCTCCCGCGGAGCAGCTGGTAGTTTCGAACCGCTGACCTTAAGGTTCGCAGCCCGATTCGTAACCACTACGCTACCAGAGCTCCCTATTACAATAATAGCAACCAAAAATACTTAGGAATAACACTAACAAGAAGAAAACTGCATAAAATTAAAGATTTCAGTGCGATGGTATATTAGGCCTATGTTTTGAATGGAAAGATCCTATAAGACGGGTTCACAAGGTTTGTGGAAAAATGGGATTTAAAGATAATGGACTTTTCCCTTGGACATTTTAAAGCCCCCACATATACTGAACAACAACAAAACCCCCAGCTATTCTCATGAGGTTGCATGTAAATTCAATTCATTCTAACAGAATTTTTTTTTAATGTTTTATTGTGAATTATATGATAGTTTATATGTTTACATGAGAGAACTTTAGTTTTACATTCATTCCCTCGTATATCATTTCATTGCCATGGTTCCAATCCCCTTAATGCATCATCAACTGACCAAAGGATATATCATAGAAACCCGCCCCCTCCCCTCCCCTCACCCCCCCAGTCTCCAGCCCACAGGCCCTCTCCCTCTCTGGATCCAAAGAAGTCCCCAGCCGCTTCATCACTCCACGTCATTGTCTCTGTCTCCATCTCTGGGTAGGGTCCCGCTCTTGGCTCTTCTCCATTGATGGTCCTAGAGACCTCCGCTCCTAGACTGGAGAAATAATCGCTCCCTTCCTTGCTATAAAACATCTACTTTTGTACTTCCAACCCTCATAATCAGTCCTGATAATCATTATTCACTACAGTATCACGAGTTGCCCATCTGTATTTCATTTCATCAGCTCTGCCTAGACAGATTAGATAGTACTCACTGGAGATTCTGCCTTCCTCCATGCCCCCTAGCTCTAGGTTCCCTCTTGAAAGCTTGTAAGCCAGTCACTTCTTGCCTTTGTAGCACCCCCCACCCCATTTGGGTATCCAATGTCCAAGTTGCCCATCTCTGCCCACTCTGTGTGTGGAGGGGGTGGGAATGTTTCTTGCTATAAGGATTTGTTCCTTCTTTTGAGCCACTGCATCCATAGGTATAGGTCAAGTTCATCGGATTGTATCAGCTCACTCACTTTCTCTCTCTTTTTTTTTTTCCTCTTCTTTCTTCTTCTGGTTGAGCTCTGATCATCTAGTCATCTGGTCCAGGTCACGTGGGTACTATCTGCAAGTGTGGGTGCTCTTGTGCCCATGCCCTCTCTTCCCATCAGCTGGCAGCTCCACTCTCCACTCGAGTCTTCTGTGGCCATGCCACTAGCTCTGGGCCCGAGAGTCCCCAGATCTCCTCTCACTGCTTGCCAAGCAGGTCCCCAACTGGGTCCACAGAAGCCCACTGAACATTGTAAGGCTTAGCTTGCCGCTTCATTGCTGCTTTTACCCCTCTTCCCCCCATCGGTGATGCATGTGGTCACCAATCAGAGCGTGTATTTCCAGTTCCTTTGCCTCTATTGTTTTGTATTTTTCCTGCAGGTCTTTCTTTCAAGAAGTATCTTTTGTTCTTCTAGCCACTCCAGGCTGGTCTGCTCGTCCTTTCAAGGGGAGATTTCTCATCTCTGGAGATCTGGATGTGGTTCGGGTTTCTACCTATAGTTTTATGTATTGCAAAGGCTCTGCAAGAAGCCTCCGTTCACTGTAGCCCCAATTTAGGTATCCCAATCAGTTATAGGCAGAAGACGGACTTACAAGCCTTCTAGTGTGATGTTTCTGAGTATTCCTTTCTCTCCCCTCCAGTGTCTACTCTGTATTATAGTGCAAGGAAAACCAACCAAGATTCAAAAAACAGTCAAGCATCTTAACACGATCCCCCCGCCCCCATTCCAACCATGACTCAATCACTGTATCTCAGAGCCCTGGCGTTCCAAGGCTATGTATTTATTGTCCTTTATCTCTCCCCCATTTGACCCCTTCAAACATGCCCAATTGTTCTCCCACATGCCCCGTTTCTCCACTTCCCTCTCCCTCCCTGTATATTGCCCTCCTCCCCAGCACCCAAGTTCTCCTGCATCCAATCCCCACCCTGTGCTCCTCCCTACCCACCCCCCCCAACTCCAACTTCCCAGCAACCAACAGAGACTTCCCCTTACCCCCCTATAGTATAATTTCTTTTCTTTAGTCTTTTACAGTAGTGGTCCCATGCAGTATTTCTCT